AGGCAGGCAGGCAGGCAGGCAGGCAGGAAGGCAGGCAGGCAGGCAGGCAGGCAGGCAGGAAGGCAGGCAGGCAGGCAGGCAGGCAGGCAGGCAGGCAGGCAGGCAGGGGAAAACAAGCACCGGTAAGAAGTGGGAAGAACAGAGCCCTGGCAGGAGAGAAGGCTGCCAGCACCGTGGGAAGCAGCAGGGCACTGCGTCTTAAGAATGAAGCCATACTACCACTGCATTCAGCAATTCCACTTCCGGGCCATGTACACAAGAACTGAGAGCAGGGGCTTGCACACCCATGTTCACAGCAACCATACTCACAACAGCCCAAAGGGGGAAGCCGTTGAAGTGTCCATCAACAGATGAACAGATCAACAACACATGGGCTCCACCTCCCGGGGAATATTACACAGCCTTAAAAAAGAGGGCAATTCTGACCCCTGCCACACAAACATGGATGAACTGCGAGGATGCTGTCCTAAGTGAAGCAAGCCAGTCCCCCAAAGACAAAGACGGCCTGACTCCACTCCATGCGAGGTGCCTAGCGCCAGCACACTCCTGGACACAGGAGGTGGAGCAGAGTGTTATCAGAGGTGGGGAAGGAGGAAGGGGGGGACCGTTACGGGGAACGGGGTTCCGGCGGGGGGGGCCCATTACGGGGACAGAGCTTCAGCTGGGGGGGACCGTTACGGGGACGGAGCTTCAGCTGTGCAAGGCGAAGAGCACTTGAAGAGGATGGCGGTGATGAACACATGACAGTACGAATGCACTTAATCTCATGGAGGCATGCGCTTACAATAGTAGGTTTTATGTTGTGTCGACGTTACCACAATCAGACCAATTAAACAGTTTTCACTTACAGGCTGTGGGGGGCGGGCAGTGGGAGGGGAAGGTTTCTGCCTTTGACTGGCTTTCCTGAGTACAGATTATAAAGGAAGACAAGCAACATCGCGTCGGCGGTCGTGATGGGTAAGCCTCGAACCCTGGGGCCCTGCCCCGCAAGCCGGGTTGCTGCAGCCAAGTCCCGTAACTCTGCTCGGCCTCACTATCCTCACCAAATGGATCCAAGGGTACCGAGCTCCCCGGGCTGCGAGCATTCCAGAAGCAGGGCCCAACTCCGAGAGCAAGCAACGTGCTTGGTACGCTGGCTTGCTGCACACCAACCCCTCGGCAAGGGTCAGCTGCTACCATTTGTTCCCTCTAGACGCCCCGCAGGGAGACGAGGCATGCCGGTCAAGGAAAGCGCTGGGGGCCGGCTTCGAGCCCGCCTCCCGCTGCCGCTGAGTCTTTCCTTGGCTTGGGCCACTGCTTTGTTTTCCTTCAGGAAATGCCACCAGTCGTGGGTGACAGGAAGGGAGGGGAAACTGGCAGAGCAGAAGTCAGTCAGCTGCCCTTTCACTGGTACCTTGGTCAGAGTTCCTTTTGAAAAGCTCCCTCCTGGCCTCCCAAAACCACAGGAAAGGTGGGATTTTCCACATGTTGACAGAGCAGCGGGGCTCCGCCCACTGGGAGGAAGGCTGGGGAGAGCGAACAGGAAGCGAGGAACAGGGGCATCAAGTCCACAAACAGACTTCCTCTCTGCCGAAGGTTCTGGACCGGCCAACAGAAAGACGAGTCTCTAGGGAGGAAGTGCAGGAATCCATCCTGAGCAAGACAGCCAGAAGGAGGCTGCCCTGACAAGATGCAGAGGCGGACTTCCAAACCAAATCAACACCCCTGGACCCCCTGTGCATGGGGAGAGGGCCCGGGAGGGCTCCATCTGTCATCCCTGCGCCAACCTCAACAATGAATCACCCCTAAGCCACAACAGAAAGGAAACACCGGGGAGGCCCCACCTCAGTGGCTGAGAGACCAGTGTGAACAAAACCCTCCAATGCGGGGACCTCTCCAGATCCACCTCCCTAACACCAGAGTGCAGCCCAGTGAATGCTGGATGGATGGATGGAGGGAGGGAGGGAGGGAGGGAGGGCGGGTGGAGAGGGGAACGCAGGGTGCGCTTCTGGCAGACCTTACAACATTACTGAACGTCTCACCACTGGAGGGGACCGCTTCTCCATCATCCCGTCGGGCAGCATATGTGGGAGCAAGCACATGACACACACCCAAACTCTGAGATCACCAGCTGATGCAGGACACTGGCCTGACACCCAGGGGCCTCAGAGATGGAAAGGGACACCAGGGGGGGAGCTGGAGAGGTTAGCTGGGACCTCACGTATCATGCTGACAGATCTTAACAAAGAATAGAAGGAAGGAAAATGACGTAAAAATTTTTAAGGTCCTATGCGAAGCTAAAATGATACAACAATTTAAAGCGCTGAGCACCGTGTGTGGCAGGCTGAGTGCTCAATAAATGGTAGGATTTATCATTACACTGTTAATAATAACTGGATCAAACCCTAAAAAAAAATGGATGAGAGAATGTTCAACTTTACTCAAAAATAAATACAAATTTAAGCAAATATCTGCGTTGCCTTTCACCCATCAGGATCACCAAAGGTCTGGTAATACATGGAGTAAGGAAAGGCGTGCCCTCTTGCACCACAGGGAGAAATTCAAATTGTTACCACCTCTCTCAAAACATTAGACCAGAAAACACTTCGCGGCTGGGATCCCTCCTCTAGGACTCGATCCTGTTTTTCTCCTCCTCACACACGCATACAAACAGGGAGACCCCAAGGTTTCTAAGGAGCAGTACTCATGATACTAACGGACCGGGAGCAACTCTACGTCCATCAAGAAGCAAACGATTTCTCCTCAGTAAGGAAATCATGCTGCCAAGTCCAAGGTCAAACCATGTTTGTTACAAAAATGTCCCATGTGGAGCATCGCGGGTGCTGACGGGGAACCACTCCGAGATGCACTGTTTGAGGAACACACACACTGAATTACGTTACTACGCTGATGACTTCCCCTGACTCATGTCTGCCCAGCCCGCCTAACTGTCGTAAGTCAACCTGCTTTCCCTCCTTACGGTCAACCTCTCTCCCGCCACAAAGTAGGGCAGGCGCGTGGCAATCTTGCGTCTCCCCAGGACACAGAAGGTGCTCAAATGTGAGGGCCTCAAGAACGAGGTCCAAGTTGCTCCACAGCACAGCAGCCTTCTCTGCAGATGGACTTGAACATCCACGGAAGTGAGGCTCCAGCCAGGTGAGGGCTGTGTCACCGTCAGCCCCCAGCGCTTGGCACGGCGTCCGGCACCTCGCAGGTCCAGCCAGACCGCACGAGGGCCTTTCCACACCACAAAACATGCTCCGACAGCCGTGGAACGTTTCAAGAAAGAACACCAGAGGCCAATACGACATGGAGAAAACCACAGAAATACGAACAAATCTTACCTGTTTCTTCTGGTTTGATCCACTGAATAAATCTGCTTTCTCAGCCAACTGCGAAGAGAGTTGAGATTAGAGACAGAGAGAGTGAGTTAGTAAACAGCCCCAGTCTCGGTTAGTTCTATGGAATGGGGACAAAGGATACTGGAAACAAGAAACGCTCTCCAACTTGCTAACTCGAGCAGCTCAGGAAGGAGCGGTTTTCTCCTTATTGTTGAGACGCCCTAGCTGAGCCAAGAGGCCCCCCCGCAACGCATAGCGGCTGGCACTCTTTAAACGGACAAGCCTCTCTGTTCATCATCCCCCCAAAAAGCTGATGAGACAAATGGTGGGAATCAGAGGATTTTAACCGAGGGGACAATCATTCACATGCCGATCCCACACGGACCTCCACGACACGGAAGCACAGACAAGGCCGTCCTGAGCGGGTGGCAAATCCCATACCCTGTATGGGACTGTCCTTTGGTGAGTCGGCAGAATCCCTTCCTAATCCTACAAGAAGGAAGCCCTCTGTCCTCCCCTCAAACACCACCAATGCCTGTTTCTGTCTGGATTTCAGCGCGCGCCTCACCCCAGGTGGCAAGCACGGCCCAACACTGAGAGAGGCTCTTTGGGGAGATGCTGGGGAGCCCACTGCCTCTACCGGGAACCTGACGCACTCGGGACCCTCCATGAGCCTCCAAGATGAAACGTCCTACTTTGCTTTCTTTCGCTCGTGTTGGCTAAAGGGAGCGGAATCAATGAATGTGGGAAGGCAAGATTAACAAGCACAAGCCAGTACCTCTCGATAATGGTGGGTGTGGACGCGCTCATTGCTTCCTGGTGTAAGATTTTCAAGCCCGAGAGCCACTTAGTCGCATCTTCCTTAGAGTCAGCTGGAAGGTGAACACGGACAGAAATGTCATTACTCCCTTGGGAAGACCTCTGCAGAGAAATCGGGGCCCCAGGCCATCCCAGCCCCATACAGACCATGGGGACAAGAGCAGCCAGGACCCGTTTCCGGTTTTGCTCAAGGGCACCAAGAAGGCATCTCCTTCACACCTTCATGGTTCTAAGACCTGCTTTTTGTCCGAGATAAAGCCACATGCCCGTGATGACCCTTCTACAGCAAGGGTGACAAGTGGGACAATTTTTTTCCCCCCAAGAGTTTTAGTTTTTACCCCTATGCTAGGAAATAAGGTGCAGGGTCTGGGATAATTCCCACCACAATCCTGAGCCGCCCTCAGCATTTCCCGTTTCTCATCAAGGCCACGGAGAGAGAGGAGAGAGGCAGCACCAAGCAGCAAATAAGGGCTTGGCATCACTGACAAGTGCCACTGCACCACTTTGGGGCTGTGTGACATTCAGCTGGCTCCTTAACCCCTCTGTGCCGCATTTCCTCATCAGTACAAGGGAGCTAGCCATGCAGACACTCGTTGAGTTATTAACCATCTCCTAAGGACCAGGTACTTTGTTTATCTGGACGAGAGCATGCCAAGGTTTCTGTTCTCCCTCTTCCCATGGGGATGAAGAGAGGATTAAGCTCAGAAGCTTTAGGAGACCTGTCCCAGAGCCCATAAGTGGGAAGCTGGGATCTGAATCCAGGTCTTGCCATCCTGGACCTAAATTCTAGAGCTCTAAAAGAAAGACCCCAGAGTGGAACAGAGTTAGCATCCTGGACTCCAAGACCCACCTGGGCTCTCGTGGTCTCCCTACCAAGAACCACCAGGCCTCAACCTGCAGCAGGGCTAAGTGGACAAAATTCTGAAGTTCATGGGCACAGGCCCGTCTCTCCGGCCCCAACCATACACCATCAGTCAGACGTCCACTCATCATGCCCCGCACCCAGCTTGCTCTTTCCCTCCTTCAAGCCCTCACACACGGAACACTCTCTCCCTGGACTGGCCTCGCTCTTTCCTCCCAACTCCCGCTGATGCCTCGAAACCCAATTTAAAAGTCACCTCCTCCACAAAGGCTTCCCTGAGATTAGCCCTCTGCTCTCCGACAGCATGCTGTATTGTGAATGGACTGTAGCTCTTATCACAGTGTACTGTGAGCTCCTGAAAGGCAGCAACCGGGTTCATTCGGCCCTATAGCCCCAGTAGCCTCTAGCCTGGGGCTAGTATGTGTTCCAAGGTGTGTGCTGAGCAAGTGAGAGAGCAAATCGACGAGAGCTACTGGGCCCTAATTTAAATGTCCCTGAGACTGCTCAGCTTTCATCATTTCCTCCCACTTGGGTCTACTTTTAATGGCATTTATTTTCTCTCATCACTCCCAGCTGTACATACGGTTCTAAGTCAATGAATTCAGGAAGTCAACCTGAAGGGGGTGACAAGCTTCTGCCCCTGAGTCAAGTGCCTGAGCTTTTCCACAGTTCATTCTCTGGGGTCTCAGAGGCCCCTTTGCTTTTGGGTGAATTCATAGGGATGGCTGGAAATCTCACCTCCAGGTCATGTGTCTATGTGAGTGCATACGTGCCTGCACACGTGTGTGTGTGTGTATGCTTGTGGTAAGTGTTTTGTGTGTACGTGTGAGCATGCATGTGTCTGTGTAGGGGCGTCTATGTGTGTGTGTGCACATATGTGTGAGAGCTAAGATTTTGGGATAGTTTCTCTAGTTCAACTGAATATACAGTATAGGCCAGGCTCTGCTGGATGAAAACTCAAGCCTGCCTTCACCTATCTGCATGAGTCAAGCAGGCCCTAAACATAATGCTTACAATGTCCCAATGAGGCTGGCATTACCATTCTCCCCATTTCACAGCTGAGCAAACTGCAGCTCAGAGAGGTTCAGTAACTTGCCCAAAGGCACACGGCTAGAAAAGGACAGGGTTAGAACTCAAAACCACGATGCCCTCAAACACACATGAGGGGCAGGCAGGAGGCTTCTGGTACTACAGAACATCCTCGGAAACAGCCAGGCACAGCAGGGAGAAAAGCACACGGAGGCGCACTCACCGGCCAAGCTGAGCGTGCTGAGAACAAACTGGGTGCCGTACAAGATGGTAAAGCAGCAGTCTTCCTTCTGGCGGACAGCTTTCGCACGCTCAAAATCCTTGGAGCTCTTCCCCGGGCGGATTTCCTTGATTTCCATGATATCCACTAAAAAACAATTAAGAGCCAGAGTTCACTCCACCCGAGGACGTAGCCACACTGCCTGCACCCCACACGCACCACCCAGCTCCTTTACTCCCCAGCCCTGTCCAAACTGCAGGATTACATTGCAAGTAAAAAGCTTGCTGTTCTAAGCTACTAAGTACTGGGATAGTGGTATAGCAACAGACGATCGAAACGAGAAGAAATCTATCCTCCCTCTATAACCCCTGCTGCTGGAGGACTCCAACCCACTCCTAACCAAACTGGGCCAGGATGGCCAGTTGACCCAAGAGTGACCCCTCCCCCCACAGGATGG